GCTCGTGCTCAATCTTCTGCGCGGCCTCAACTCCCGCTTTGCCAACACCGCCGACATCATTGCCAACTCATCGCCGCTTCCCGACTTCAAGTCTGCCACCAACATGCTCCGCGTCAAGGAGCTCCGCCTTGGCACCGAGGGCACAGAGGCCTTGGCTTCAGCTCTTGCCGCCTCCACCAACTCCTCCTGCACTTCACCGTCCTGCCGGTCCACCTCCTCTGCACCCACCAATCGTGGGGGCGGTGGCAAGGGCAAGGGTGGGCGTGGCGGCAACGGCAGCGGTGGCAGTGGCAGTGGCGGTGGCAAGCGCAGCCAGCAGCACGGTGGCGGCTTCAGCGGGCAAGGCGGCGGCTCCGGCGGGCGTCAGGCTCCTCAGCCGGCCGGCCCTTGGGTTTGCTACAACCCTTGGGCCGTCCAGTGGCCACCTCAGCAGCAGCAGCAGTGGGGTGCGCAACCTGTGCCTCCTCCACAGGCACACACCGCCTTCGCGCCGCCTCAGTTCTCCACTGTCGGCGGTCCTCCGGCTTACGGGCCTCCAACCAGCTGGGATCCGACCAGCCTGATCGCCGCTCTCAACCAGATGGCGGTTCAGAGTGGGTCTGCACCCTGGGTCATGGACAGCGGAGCGACATCTCACATGTCCTCCAACGATGGTATTTTACTTTCCCATCTCCCGTCGCCACCGTCCTCCATTACGGTCGGCAACGGTCAATCAATTCCTATTCTTAGTCGTGGCACTTCTCTTATTCAAATAGCTGATCGTCCTTTTCATCTTGATAATGTTCTTGTCGCTCCCCAACTCACTCGTAATCTGTTATCTGTTCGACAGCTTACTCGCGACAATAACTGTTCAATTGAGTTTGACGCCTCTGGTTTTTCTGTTAAGGATCTACAGACCAAGACGGTCCTCCTTCGGTGCAATAGCAACGGGGACCTCTACACCATTCCACATCGCATGCCACCTCGCTGCCATGTCGCCGTCGTTTCCCCGGAGCTGTGGCACTTCCGCCTTGGTCATCCTGCACCTGCTGTCGTCTCTACTCTAAATACGCTATCAGCTATCCGGTGTAATAAAGCAGCTCGCCGCCTTTGTCATGCCTGTCAGCTAGGCAAACACGCTAGGCTGCCATTTGCTAGCTCGGTTTCTAGTACATCTGCACCTTTTGAACTTGTTCACTGTGATGTCTGGACCTCTCCAATTTCGAGCATTTCTGGTTATAAATTTTATCTCGTGCTAGTTGATGATTATACTCATTATTGTTGGATGTTTCCTCTTCGCCATAAATCCGAAGTTCATGAACATATTGTTCAGTTTGTTGCTTACGCTCACACACAGTTCAGCTTTCCTGTGCGCTGTTTTCAGGCAGATAATGGCACCGAGTTCATCAACAATGCCACCGCTACCTTCCTGGCTAGCCACGGCATCCTGCTTCGCACCTCGTGCCCCTACACATCCGCCCAGAATGGCAAAGCTGAGCGGATGCTTCGTACACTGAACAATGTTGTTCGCACGCTTCTGTTTCATGCCGCCATGCCTCCATCCTATTGGGTCGAAGCTCTTTCCACCGCTGTGTTTCTGATCAACCGGCGGCCCTCATCGTCCATACATAATGGTATTCCCTATCATCTCCTTCACCGCAAAATGCCAGACTACTCCATCCTTAGAGTTTTCGGTTGCCTGTGCTATCCGAACCTCAGTGCCATGACTCCCCATAAATTGTCTCCTCGCTCCGCAGCGTGTGTCTTCCTCGGTTACCCTCCTTCCCAGAAGGGCTACCGGTGTCTTGATCTTTCCACTCGCAAGATCATCATCTCTCGCCACGTTGTTTTTGATGAGACTCACTTTCCGTTTGCGGCTTCCAAGCCCCGACCGGATTCTTTTGACTTTTTGTTACAGGATATACTTCCCGCGCCTGTCCCGTCTACCTCAGACGTTCGGACCTCGCGGGCCTCGGTTGCGCCTGCCTCGTCTGCCTCAGATGATGCCGGCGACCCCGTTGGGCTCGACCCTGCCATTCTGTGGCACGGCGCTGCCCACCGGCTACCCAGCGCCTCGGCAGGCCATGGCTCCTGCACCTCCTCCGCCCGGCCAGTGCCGTCGCCTCCCCCTTCGTCTGCAGCCGTATGGCATCCATCCACTACGGCCGTCGTCGAGATCCGCACCGGCTCCACAGCCGCCGCCGGCGGTACCTCCGGCCCCAGAGCCGCAGGCAGTGGTGCCCCCGGCTCCAAAGACTGCGGTAGTGGCGGTGCCCCGGCCCGAAGCCTCTGCGTGGCGACTTCGTTCCCAGACGGGTTCCTCGCCGCCGCCCATGCAAAGAAGATGGCTTTCACCGCGGCGGCCTCGGTCTCGCTTCTCCGCTGTCGGGCAACTCTCGCCAAGCCTTTCGCCGATGCGACTGGCGCGCATGCCATGGCCGAAGAATACAAGGCGCTCGTGGACAATGGCACCTGGCGTCTTGTTCCTCGACCGCCTCGTGCCAACGTCATCACCGGCAAGTGGGTCTTCAAGCACAAGTTTCGTGCTGACGGCTCTCTGGCTCGTCATAAAGCCAGATGGGTCGTTCGTGGGTTCTCGTAGCGGTACGGCATCGACTACGACGAGACGTTCAGCCCGGTTGTCAAACCGGCCACCATCCGGGTCGTCCTCAGCATCGCCGCCTCTCGCTCCTGGCCGATACATCAGCTGGACGTGAAGAACGCTTTTCTTCACGGCCATCTGAACGAGACAGTCTACTGCCAGCAGTCGCCCGGCTTCGTTGACCCGGCGGCTCCCGACCACGTCTGTCTCCTGCAAAAGTCCTTGTACGGACTCAAGCAGGCGCCCAGGGCGTGGCACCAGCGGTTCTCCGGCTTCGTCCAACGGTCCGGCTTCACTGCTTCGACCTCCGATACATCTCTCTTTGTTTACAAAGCGGGTGCCGACATCGCCTACTTGCTGCTCTACGTCGACGACATCATTCTGACAGCCTCGTCGACCCCGCTTCTTCGTCGCATCACCGAGCTCCTTCACTCCGAGTTCGCCATGACAGATCTCGGGGATCTTCATCACTTCCTCGGGATCTCTGTCACGCGTTCTGCTGACGGCCTCTTCCTGTCTCAGCGCCAGTACGCTGTGGACCTGCTCCAGCGCGCCGGCATGGCTGAGTGTCATTCTACGGCGACTCCTGTTGACACTCATGCCAAGCTCTCTGCTACGGACGGCGCTCCGGTAGCGGATGCCACTCAGTACCGCAGCCTCGCCGGTGCGCTACAGTATCTCACGCTGACTCGTCCGGACCTCGCCTATGCAGTTCAGCAGGTTTGCCTCTTCATGCACGACCCGCGAGAACCTCATCTTGCGATGCTCAAGCGTGTCCTGCGGTATGTCAAGGGCACCCTGTCCACCGGGCTTCACATCGGCACAGGCAGCATCACCAGCTTGACCGCCTACTCCGATGCTGATTGGGCTGGTTGTCCAGACTCTCGGCGCTCCACTTCAGGCTACTGTATCTTCCTCGGCGACAACTTAGTCTCTTGGTCCTCCAAACGACAGACTACGGTCTCTCGTTCAAGTACGGAGGCTGAGTATCGTGCTGTTGCGCACGCTGTGGCTGAGACTTGTTGGCTTCGTCAGTTACTTCAGGAGCTCCACGCACCCATCTCTTCGGCGACGATCGTCTACTGCGACAATGTCAGTGCTGTCTACATGACCGCCAATCCAGTTCATCATCGTCGCACGAAGCATATTGAGATAGATATTCACTTCGTCCGTGAGAAGGTTGCTTTGGGACAGGTTTGGGTGCTCCATGTTCCATCGTCTCATCAGTTCGCGGACATTATGACCAAAGGGTTACCTGTACAGTTGTTCACTGACTTTAGGTCCAGTCTTTGTGTTCGTGACACTCCCGCTTAGACTGAGGGAGGGTGTTAGAATGTAATAATAACAGCCCATATTGGGTGTACGGCCCATTGGCCTTGTACATTATAACCCTAGCCTATTAGGCTATATAATGAAGGTCACCCCCCTTGATTAGGGTGTGCGGTGTTATTCTACATGATGAAGGAATTTGTGTTTACTGAGGTTATGTTGGACACCTATTTTCACTGCAATCATCGATTATGTCTAACATCTTTTTCTATGCTTCTTGGTTTTTTGGCAGAGGCCTCGACCACGGAGACTGTGGGGTCCATTGGTCCCACTTGATCATTTGCATCCTTTTGCGAAACCTAGCAAATCATATGCTGGTAAATTGATCTTAAACTTGCACCTACTTTATTAGTATTTTCATTGTGACATCTTTTGTTCAACTAGACGTTTGGTTACTTTAGACACTGAGTTAAAAAAATGTAGGTGCATTTGTATTTCTTTTTGAACAAACCATTTGTGTATAAGAAATGTCTCAAAAGATACATGCATATAGTAGTGATATGCATTGTTTTGGTATGCACGATGATCATTTTTCTTCAAGTTTGCATATTCTATCATGCCATCGGTCTTTGATTTTTTTCCGACATGTTTTTGACATGTATAAATATCAGCGCTCAGACTAAAATGGGCACAAACGCACCCAGGTGCACTCTTGGCATTGTATAACTTATATTTTCCAGACACTGAATATGCTAGCATTCTTCATTAGTTCTCTTACTTGGCATTGTATAACTTATATTTTCCAGACACTGAATATGCTAGCATTCTTCATTAGTTTCCACATTTTGTCTTATGTTGAGATTCATTCAGAATGATAATTAAATATTCTATATTTTCCCAACATTGGAACCATTAGTGTTAGGTTGTTGGCCTTAGAATGTTTCTTGATGTGATTTCTGCACAATAATGTGGATAAATCTATTGCGACACTTCACTATATAATTACTACATGCTTATCCCATTTGTAAAGTGTTAGATTACCTGAAATGCTATGATTTGTATACTCAGCATCAAACCATTTTACGATAATAATATAACTAAACCTTGATAAATCTGTCTGGTTACCTTACTGCAGCTCCCAGTAAGCATAATGGTTTTATTTATGCAAAAGATATATGGTGGCTTTGAGAAGATACAGTCTTCAGTAAGTTTTCTTGTGTAATGTGTAAAGGATCCTTGTACTTGTTATATCATTGTAATAGGATCATGACATTGTTTCCTTTATTAGATCTGTGATCTTATTGCCGTTGCCAGGCTATTAAATGCCACTCTTGTTATTCCTGAGATACAAGCAACAACTCGTGCAAAAGGCATCAGGTTGCTGTGCCCTTCCTCATTCTGAAATTCATTATGGTGGTTGTCTATTCCTTATCCTTTTTTTTCTGCTTGACCTCTAAAATATAGCCTTTCCTCTGTTCCAACTTTGCAGTCCGAAGTTCAAAAGCTTTTCTTATCTATACGATGAAGATCATTTCATACATGCACTTTCCAGTGATGTGGTTATTGTGCATGGCTTGCCAAAAGATCTCAGAGAGGCTAGGAAAAAGATAAAATTTCCCACAGTATCTCCTAGGAATTCTGCTACTCCAGAATACTACATCAAAGAAGTATTACCCAGACTTATAAAATCAAAAGTTCATGGGATAATTGTTAATGGAGGTAATTGTCTTCAGGTATCCTCCATGCCCATGCTTACTCTGTTTTGTTTTTTCATTCTTTGGTCAGTGTGAAGTTAGAGCCTTTCCATACGGTTTTCTGCAGTCAATTCTCCCTGCAAGCTTGGAGGAATTTCAGAAGCTTAGATGCAGAGTAGCCTTCTATGCTCTAAGGTTGCGCCCTCAAATTCAGGCTCTTGGGAGCCAAATAGTAGGAAGGTGAGGCTTCCCACCTTTGCCATTGATCCACTTACCCTTTCTTTTTTGTTCATTAATCAATTGTAGATTTATCAATTATGCTCCATGCCGTATGCTTCATCAATTTATGCAAAGAAACTAGTACTCCCTCCATTTCAAATTTTAAGTCGTTCTAGCTTTTCTAGATACATGGTTTCTGTTACGCACCTAAATATCTATTATGTCTAGATTCATAGCGTGAAAGCTATGTATCTAGAAAAGCCAGAACAAAGCCTTAATCCATAATTCAAGTTGACTTCCCTTGTACACACTAAGAAGAAAGATAGCACTTTAATCATTTGTAATGTTATTTGTAATGTTTCCTTGTATGTACTGGAAAGTTTTGGGTTGCTTTTTCTGGATTGAGGATGTTGTTTTAAACTATGTAAAGTTGAAATCTTACCCTTTCAGGGTATGCTAGTTATAGGAGCTGAAGGGTTTCTTTACTCATTATTGATTATTTTTCCTATAGTGTGGCTTTCTGTTCTCATAAGTCATAACTCCAGAATGATTTGTATAGGTTGCGAGCATCTGGCCGTCCTTATGTGGCCTATCACCCAGGACTGCTTAGAGATACTCTAGCTTTTCATGGTTGCGCTGGACTGTTCCGGGTTTGTATGCTTACAATTATTGTGTTCCAATACGACTTTCGTTTGATTGGTTAATTCTATCATCTCTAGGATATTCATACAGAGCTTATTCAGTATAGAAGGAATCAGATGATTAAACGAGGAACAGTAAAGGAGCAGCTAACAGTTGATTCGGTGTCCAGGAAGATGGCTGGTTTGTGTCCACTCATGCCAGAAGAGGTAAGCTTGATTATAACAGTCTTGTATGTTTGCTCACTAAATCTGGATGCAACTTTTTCATGTTTATTAATACCAGGTAAGCTGGTGTTATGTTACGCTCTGCGCCAAGAGAATTCACATAGAAGAAATCTGAGGCTGACAAAATATAAGCAACCAAACAAAAGAAAACTAGATGACAATTTTCCTTTACCATGTGGACCTTTACCTTCAGAATATAAATTTCATGTTTTGCTTTTAAGCATCATTCTTTGCTAATCCAATCATTATGAAAATCAAGCTCAAGGAAAAGAAGTTTAAAGAAAGAAAAGTTAACTAGAAAGACTTCGTCTCTTCTTTCTATTCCTTGGTCCCGTGGCACACATTGAGCTGCATGATATAATTTAATACTATGCCTGATTTACCATACCAGCTTACTGATTCATTTTGATTGCTAATGCTGTGATGTAAACAATCCTGTGTTTCCAGGTTGGACTTCTACTTCAAGCATTAGGTTACCCACCAACTACAATAATATTCTTGGCTGGTTCCGAGACTTTTGGTGGACAAAGAATGCTTATTCCTCTACGAGCTATGTTTGCTAACCTAGTTGATCGCACTTCATTATACAGGGAGCTGTTTGATTTAGTTGGGCCAGAAGATCCTCTAACCCCAGATTTGCCACAGCCTCCACCTCCCAAAAGTGAAAAACAACTCATTGAAGAATGGAAGAGAGCAGGGCCTCGTCCAAGACCGCTGCCTCCACCTCTTGCAAGGCCATTCTATGCGCATGAGAAGGAAGGCTGGTATGGTTGGATTGGTGAAAATGACACAGAACCGGATGCTTCACTGATTGAGTTCAGGAGGCAGGCACACCGGTTGCTCTGGGATGCACTTGATTATTTTGTTTCTGTTGAAGCTGATGCCTTCTTCCCCGGGTTTCACAATGACGGGAGTGGTTGGCCAGACTACTCAAGTTTGGTCATGGGGCACCGGTTATACCAAACACCTTCCGGTATAACCTACAGGCCTGACAGGTACAGAGCTATTATATTTTTATGGTTGCATACTTTTTTGTACAGCTTAGAACAGTTTTTCTTATCTTCAGCCATTAAAATGCATTTTATATTTGCTAAATTGCAAAGGAAAAAATTGTAACTGACATTAGTGGTAGTAAAGTAGCCTTCGGGGTGCTAGTGGATAACTGTTAAACTTGGAACAAACACAATAGCTATGCTAATTGTAAGATCATCAAAGTTACTGGATTGTCCAGTAGTATATTGTGGGTCAAGTATAATAACCTTTTGACAGCTATCCACTTGCTATGTAGTTTGCATGATGATAATTTCCTTTCCTTTTCAATCAACAGAAAGATTATTGCTGTGCTGTTTGAAGATGTTAATGATCATCGGTATCATCCACCGCGGAATTGGACAATTGCTGCACGTGAACACCTCAACAGGAGTGCAAGTGTGGAAGGCGTTGTGTCATCAGCTATGTTGTCAAGACCTGTATCTTTTCTCGCCCACCCTTTGCCAGAGTGTTCTTGCAGAACACCAAAGTCACCTGCTGTTCAACCGGTGAAAGACAGCAATGGCAGATTCCTATTTGGAGGTGAGGAAGAGTGTCCTGATTGGATGGCACGCAGCCTTGCAACGGTGTCTGCCAGGTAATGAACCTCAAAATGAGGACTATGAGGATGAGTTGCCTGAAGATGGCTCTAGCTCAGACATGCAGGAATCTGACAGAAGTGACTCGAATAAATCTTCGGAGCAAGACAAAGAGATGGATCCGGATGATTAGAGAGATTGGAGCATGGATTTATGGCGCACCTTTAACTGCTACCAGCCCCAGGCTCCTAAAGCAAGAAAAGCATACACTCTTCTACCTTAATGAAATGACGCGCAGTTCTCCTGCGCTGTTCGAGAAAAGAAAAGAAAAGCATACACTCAGAACTTCCTGGACCAGCAGGAATCGTCTTGCATTCCAGCAGCACATCAGCATCTGGAGTAGCCCCAGGATGACAAGGTCATCCAGCGTGGGAGCTTGCCTAGATCGTACTCTGTATACAACCAGGCTTGAATACGAAACTATCCACTTTGTTCTCTTCTTCCTTCACGTCTTACTCATCTTTTTGTTTACATTTTTGTGGGCACAGGCCAAAGAAATTGTTTCTGTACAAATGTCTTAACTGGGAATGCATTATTTTTTGGGTGAGTTTGATATCTAGCATGTATGAGGTAATGAGATTGGCTTATGGCAGACAGATGTGCGCCTGTAAAATAAAGGACAGGCATTGCCGTTTTGTCCCACGCAATTGTTGTGAGTTTGTTGATCGCCGAAGAGCGTGCTTAAGGAGTTGGTGCTTCTGCATGACTTGTGCTATGGATCAGAAAATTGTGTATATCTATTTTGGTGACACGAAAAGTTTGTGTTTCACATGAAGTCTGCTCAAAATTTTCAAGTAAACTTTGTCAAAAGATGATTCTGAGGTGAAACCTTCTCCAAGTTCCGCAAGCTGCTGTAGTCGGTGACGATCTATGAATGACGGTGTTGTCATAAAAACAATTCCGTGAATTTGAATTGCCCAATAATTTTCCATGATGTGTTTGGATGAGCAAATCTCATTTACACTCAGCCGAGTTTTATAATTTCCTACTGGCTGATTTCCTTCGGTGTTCAATTGATTTCCTTCGGTGTTCTTCTCAACGTCCTTGCCACTGCTCAGATCCCCAAAGACATTACGCCCCGGTGTACACATATGGCTTGCTTTCGACTTTTGTGAGAGAGCTTGCTTTAGATTGGTTTTTCCATCTGCTTTGTGCGCTGCTCAGTAGTGAATCATACGTTGCAACTGTACAAGGAAACGCAAAACGTTATATTTCATTTCTGCAAAGAATACGCACTGATATCACTGGCGAAGAGGTTAGGCCACAAATAATGCTACGCACTGAAATCACTGGCGAAGAGGCTAGGCCACAGATAACGTCAGCTGTTGTTGGAGCTTCATCTGACAGCCCCGACCAGCATACAACCATTCAAAAGTGTAGAGGGCTAGAGGCATGGACATCCACTATGGATGTAGGGTAGGGTACCCGAGTTGTCAATAGACAACCCGAAGATTCCGGAATTCCAGTTCCAGATCATACAATTGTAACTCGATCTGCTGACACTTCCATAGCATAGGGATGGTGTGGCCAGATATATAGAGACGTGACAACCAGTTTTCACCACCTGACTCAAGTACTGAGCTACTCCCTCTGTCCTAAAAAGAATATCGCTCTTAAGTTCATATTGATAAAATTTTCTTAAATTTTACAAGATTTATAGAAAATATTAGCTACATTTATATATCTCCAAATAAGTTTGTTATGCCAATAATACCAATCTGCACTATATCAATATTTTCTTATATATATTTGCTCAAAGTTGAAAATATTTGACTTCACATGAGAATGGCATTCTTTGTGGTACTGAGGAAGTACTATTTACATTCATAATCAATCTACCATTAGATTATAAATAAACATACAGGATCACCTTTAATCAATATATGAGCAAAATAGAACGGAAGGATAACACAAAAAACAGAACATGCATCAAACTTCGGGAGGATGAATGAGCAGTAATAAAAATAATAAAAACAGGAAACAGGAGGATATAAAAAAGGGCCACCGGTGTTGGTACATGATTCATAGATAATCCCCACAAGCACAAGAATCCAAAGTGCCACACAACAAACAGGTACATATTACATACCACTAGCCATTCAACACAGCTACTAATATCCAATATAGGTAGCGATAATATTGACCAGGTCATATAGTTATTAAAAACAGAACACGTTCAACCATACTGCTAAGAAAGACCATGTAATGATGCTAATTGCATATGACATCAAGGGATAGATAGATCATCCAAAGGCTTCAACTTCTTGCGGAGGTCATTCAAATTTCATCCTTTTTCCGCTTGCCCCCATCCCAATTGCTTCCACAGCTCCCTAGCAGAAACAGATATTTGTCAAAATATAAATAAACAGCTCTCTACCTACTTCAAGGGTGTTCTCACAAAATAACGATAGGTTGCATGTACGTACTTGGTGATACTTTGAGCCCCATTGGGAGAGGGAAACACTGGCGGCAAGGAGGTAGCGCCATCTCAGCAATGCTCTTGGGTGTTTTTGCTGGGTGGCAGAGATGAGCCTGGCTTTGCGCGTGTCAACAGAAAGCAGGAACTTCACTCCCCTAAACCGGTAGCCTTCCACTCGTTCCACATCACCCGGAGTGACAATGTAGACGACGTCATGTTCTAGCGTGCTTAGGATAGGGAACAATGGCGGGATCTGTGGCACATCCTTGGAGATAAATGTCTTATCCTTCCAGAGATCTTTTAGAAGCAGCTTCGTGTCTACCATCCAGCTAGGGGATGGCTTATCCAGGTCCAGGGCATAGGTAACGAGCGAGATTGGGCCACCCTCCACGAAGCCATCCACGTTGAGAAACTTGATGCACTACTGCAGACGGGTTCTTTGTCGAGTGCTTAAGCCCCTATTGCACTCGGCAAAGGCTTTGCCGAGTGCTGCTTTCGGCAAAGAGCAGTCGGCAAAGAACCCGTCGGCAAAGGTTTATTTGCCGAGTGTCACATATCGGGCACTCGGTAAAGCCTTTGTCGAGTGTCACGTTAGCACTCGGCAAAAAAAATCTAACGTCAACTCTGACGGCCTCTTTGTCGAGTGCCACCTCAGCGGCACTCGGCAAAGATTTTTTTTTTTGAAAATTTTTTGCCGAGTGCCATACTATTGCACTCGGCAAATAAATTTTTACTTTAAAAAAAAAAAATCTTTGCCGAGTGCCATGGCTCTGGCACTCGGCAAAGCTGGGAAATTGGGTCTCTGCTTCCCAGCTTTGCCGAGTGCCATGGTCACGGCACTCGGCAAAGCCCTCTTTACCGAGTGTGGCACTCGGCAAAGAGGGGGAAAATGTTTTTTTTGGTTTTTTGCTTTCCATCAGCACAAACAAAGAAATCACATACTCCCTCCATACCCGTATTAGCTGTCGTTCTGGGCACTAAGCCCATTTTCACAAAGCCTGTCGTCGCTCGCCCGTGCAGTGCCTTATGGACGCGAATGCCCCTCCCATCGCCGCCCGTTGCGCTCGCCAACTACTCGCAATTAATCGCGCGTCGCCTCGGTTCGCTGCGTCGCCGCCCGTCGGCTCTCGCGTCAAGGCAGACCACACACGCTCGCCCACAGCACGCTCGCCTCCCTTTATCTCGTCAGCGCGCTCGCGTCCCTCGCCGCCCGGAGGAAGCTCGTGCCATGGAGGAAGCTCGCGCCAAGGAGATCGGTCGCGCCATGGAGGAGCCTCGCGCCATGGTGGTCGCTCGCACCATGGAGGAGTCCGGCGCCATGAAGGTCACTCGCGCCATGGAGGAGACGCCGGACGCAGAGGTCGCGCCGGACTCGGAGATGACGATTGCCTCTGAGATGGCGCTGGACTATCGACCCGGACGACGTCGAGATGGTGCCGGACTCCCTCGAGATCGCCCTGTTCGACGTCGAGGTGGTGCCGGACTCCCTCGACATCGCCCCGTTCGACGTCGAGGTGGTGCCGGACTCCCTCGACATCGCGCCGGACGCCGTCGAGGTGCAGTGCGCTCGCTGCGGCATGTTCCACGGTGGCGGCGTCTTCGGAGAAGCCTGCTTCCAAGCTCGCCGCGAAGCTCGCAGGTGTGCACGTTGCCGTCTTGTTCATGATGACTACGATCTCACTACTTGGATACTACATGGCATAGACAAATTTGATTGCGAGTTGTTCATCCCTGATGTGGACAAACTTGAGATGGATGGAGGCACAATACTAGTACCTGAACACGTTGAACAGAAGGTGGACGAGATCTACAACATGAAGAAGTTCAAAGATGCAAAGATGAAGGAAGATGCAAACATGAAGAGTAAGGTACATGTCTTGCTTCGGCTTGCAAAATCTAATTTTCTACTACTACATTCTTGCTTCAGATTGAAAAAACTAATTTGGTACTACATTCTTCTAATTTGCTGTAGGAAGACTAGCAAGTGCTTCGGCTAGCAAGGAAGCTTCACAAGTTATTTGGAATGGGAGCCGATCTTCTCTCTCTAGTCTTTGTTTTTGAATGTGAGGAATTTTGAACTTGTTACATCCTTTTATCTTCATGGCTTCCTTCAAAACGGTTTGTAGTGTCACAAAGATCCTATTTGCTTTGTGTGGTGAGTACTCTACGAATGCCTACATGAAAAGTGAAAATGAATCAATGAGTACTCCATTTAGTTGTTAAAGAAGCAATGTAACAAGTGAAAAAGTGAACAATTTACCTGCTGCACGGCTGGAACAAGATCTTTAATTGTTTTTGCATCCTTCTTATATTGTATAGCTTGTATAGCACGAAAAAACCCCAAGTCTAGAATGTTGAAATCAGGAGAATTGGGTGGTTGACAAATAAGCCGAATATCAAACCCATCTTGCTTAGCAGCCTCACAAAAAACAGGATCATCCACTTTTAAATGAGAAGGTGCATTATCTTGTTGTATGAATATTGGCTTGTGCACATCTTCTCTTGTCCATTTGGCTCTAATGGCCGGCAACACTTGATTTAGCATGAAATCTCTAATGACATCCCTTGTGATTGAAGTTATTGGCTTGATAACTTGTTCACCACGAAGACGGTTATGACTTCCTCTAATAGGATTTTCATAAGTGACAAGTGGAAAGCAACCGATTTTCCCATAAAAAATGCACTCTCCGTTTCTAAATCTTGGCCAAGCACAA